TGAAAATTCCAGTTTTGCTTGGTTCCCCAGCACCCCTCACCACTGAACTAAAAAGAATGGGGCCGAAGGACAGCTCTGCAAGACACTCCCATCTCTGCGCATCTGCTCTCACCAGGGTGGGGCCAAAAGCTCTGCACAAGCTTCAAACCCAGCAGGTTGGGGCCCAAAATCCTAGCCCGGCACAACTTGACTGTGACACCAAACCCAGATGTGCAGGACAGGCTGAGTGGTTCAAGAGGTGTGGGGAGGTGTGCCAGCTGTGCACTCAAGGTAGGGGAGACTTATCCTCTTTCCAAGCCACGCAGTTTAGATCTCCACCAAAAGCCTCCCCGCAAAATCTCTTCATCTTTTTTACCCTTCCCTCCAATGCCCCTCTCCTCTGCAACCATCAATTTGTTCTCTGAGTTTGTTTCTGTTCTTTTGTTTTGTTGCAGTTTTTCAGTCAGAGTTTCCATGCCTCTAATTAGTCTGGAAAATTCTCAGATGTTATTTCTTTGAATATTACTGTCTCCAAATTTACTGTTTCCTTTAGCTTTTATAATACACTTTTTGAATCTTTTAGCCCAATTGATTATTAATATTTTTATCGTATGTTTCAGATGTTTATTTCCCTGTTCACTGCTGGGTGGAGCCAGCAGACCCCTCTGCAGGACCGAGTATGGCAGCAGGGCGACACCAGTAGTTGGAGTCTGTCTGGAGCAAACACCCCAGGCTGGTGCCTACCCTTAGGAGTGCTCTTTCCCTAAGAGGGCGTGGTCTGACTCTCCCGGGCAGTCTAAATCCCCACTGATTCCCACTGCCATGCGCTACATAGGCTTCTCTTTCTATCTCTGTAGCTCTGGATTGGGAATCCCTGCATGGGGTTGAAACCCGAGGCTCCTGGGGGAGGGAGTTCTGCAGTCATGCCACACCTGCATGAGGAGGCTCTCCCTTTCTGTCTGTGCCCTTCTCACCAGTCTCTACGTGGCTGCCTCTGTGCTCCTTGGTTATATAGTTCAGATCAGCTAGCCTTCAATTGGTTTTGATTGCTCTGTAATGTAGCTATAAATCCAGTTTGGGACTGGGAGCAACTGGGTGCCTCCAGCTACACTGCAGCCATCTGGGAATACTTTTTATGTCCTTAAAAATTAATCATTATTTTTCTTATTCTTTCAGTCAATGCTTATTTGTACCCACCCATATGTTTACAAAATTCTTTATCATTGCTTCTTATATTCTGTTTCTTCTTCCTAAGTCAAATTTTCTTAAACTTTTTTTTGATCTGAGAGTTGATTTTTTCAATCTTTGTCTGAAAATGGCTTTATTTTACCCTCACTCTTATATATTAGAAGCCCATTGCATGAAGTTTCGCACAATAGGCGTTCCTTCCCCTGGTTGCCGGCACCAGTTTTCCTCTGGCACCCAGGACCCAGGCCTTTGGTCCAGCCACAGCAAGGCTTGGCTTCTCCACTGCGGTTGCAGTGGAGAAGCCAAGCCTCTTTAGTCTTGAGTCTTCAGTCTTGAGTCTTCAGTCTTCACTCTGTGCCTGTGTATGCAAATTAACCTCCATCTTTATTGGGTTAATTTGCATACTCATCTGATTGGCTGGTGGGGGTAGCGGAGTGACACCAATTTGCATGTTTCTCTTTTATTAGTGTAGATTAGTTTAGTTGAATAGAGAATTCAAGGTTGAGAGTTTTTCCCTTGATAATGTTAAAAATAATTGTCTTATTTGTTGAGAAGTCTGTTCTCATTGTAATTGAAATTCTTTATAAGTCTGTCTTTTGTCATTGGTTTCTTTTAAGGTATTCTCCTTTTCTTTGTGTGTAGTCTCACTGTTACATGTCTAGGTTGTTGAGGGATGTTTAATGAACCGAAGATGCAGAGGTAAGACGAGCACACAGGATGATTGATGCCGGACAGAGGGCTACAGCTTGCTCAGGCATGTAGCAAACTCTGCACTCTCACCATTGCTTTTATTGGGGTTTGGTACACGGTTAGTGCGTCAGCAGTTAATCAACTGAATCTTGTTTTGTTCTATATTATTAAAATAGCGTATTGAAGACAACTTGTAGCTGTGCCCTCCCTTTCTGTTCTACACCCATGACTATTTAATCTTAGCCTTTCTCAGGGAGGTAAATGTTCCTGGAACTCAAGATTGTGTGCAATCTTGACCCAGCGTGACTCGCTTGCAAGTCACACTGTGCTCCTGATAGAACATTCACTTCTTGGCAGGACTTCAGATCCTTGTTTACAAATGTCCAGCTACACTAGGTTCTAATTTATTTGGGGGGAATGTCTTTTGTTGCAGTGTTTTAGTCAGAGTTTCCATGCCTCTTATTAGTCTGGAAAATTCTCAGATGTTATTTCTTAGAATATTACTGCCTCCAAATTTACTGTTTCCTTTAGCTTTTATAATACACTTTCTGAATCTTTTAGCCCAATTGATTATTAATATTTTTATCGTATGTTTCAGATGTTTATTTCTCTGTGCTATGATCCATCATCTAGTTCATTCTTCCCCTTCAAGCTGTACCATTTTGTTTTTTGATGCATTCATTAATTTTCATTTACTTTTTCTTTCTAGAAGTTCTATTTGATTCTTCTTCAAATAGAAGAGGAATGTTTTTAATTTTTCCTTAATGTCCTTTTTGAATTTTTTTAATGTCTTTAAAACTTTTAAACATATTTTCCATGCCTTCTAAACTATTTTGTTCCATAATTTGAAGTTCTAGAACTCTGATCCTGCTATGTGCTGTGTTACTCTGATTCTCACTATTTGACTGTAATCTCCTCTTGAGATGGGAGTTTTTTTTCTCCAATAAACTTGTATGGCCAGGGAGATGGGTGGGCTTCTTCAACCTTTATGTTGAAGTTTAGAATTTGGATAGGTAGTGTAAAGTCCGACTTCAAATTTGAGTGAATGCAGACCTGAGGTTTCAGTTTCTTACAGAAGACATTTTTTCCCATATCCAGAGACTAGGTCAAGATAAATTTTTGTTTGTATCTCTGTGAGGTTGAGTGGATTTTTTTTCCCTCGGAGCCTCCTCTCAAGGGCCCCAAATTATGTACAGGTCTCAGTTCCAACTCTCCATTAATTCTACATCTTGTCTCCTATCCTTGCTTGAATGTTGAAACGTAAGTCATTCACTGTTAGTGGCTCTTTCAACCCCCAACTCTTAGCTTCAGGCTTTCATTTGCTTCCTGCTCTGGCTTTGTTTTCTTTGTTTTTGGCATGTGAGGATTTTTCTTTCTTCCTTGAAAGCTCAGCTATGAATTACAAAAATCCTTTTTGTTCTATTTTATCTTAGCCTTTAAAAGGTTTTCCTCTTAATCACTACCTTACTGGAATCTGAAACATACTGAGTGATATTTTCCAAACAAAACTATTAGTAATTGCATCACCTCCCTCTGTAGACCTTTCAGTGGATAAAGACCTAATTTTTAACCCACTGACTAGACTCTCTGTTTTGTATGCCTTTTCAGTTGCATCCTCTCTCACTCTTCCCTGTGGTCTCGGGGCTCCAGCCATACTGGCCTCCCTCTCTTCTTGGAGCATGTCATTTTCCTCCTTTCACATACGCCCTCCAAAGCTTTGCCCTTCGCATTCCTGACTTGGAAAGATGCTCTCTCCAACACACACTGTATATATCTGCTCATCACCTCAACTGTCATTTGTCCAGGAAAACCTCTCCTGACTCTCAGTTTAGGTCGTGTTCCTTTATTATACACTATTTTCTCTAGAAGTATTTTCTTAATATGTATTAATATATTCATTTGTTTATTTGATTGATGCATGACTCCCCCATAGTCAGAAAGTTTTAAGAGAGCAGAGACCATATTGTTTATCGTTGGTATGCATCTAAGCACATTGACTGAAACATAGAATATACAATAAATATAGAATGGATGGATAGAAGATTATTTAAAAATAAATGAGAAATAGAGTGAGTGAGGAAGGAAGGGAGGGAGGGAGAAAGGTAGGAGTGAATTGTGACCAAATAATTTATTCCAGGAGCAATTTTTGTGTACTTTGTACTTGTAAAAGCAGAAAAGTGTCTTAATTTGCCTCTCAGTTTTGTTATCTTCACATAACAAATACTTCTCTATAGGTGGCAGTGTAATTAAGATTGTTTTTTGGAACATTATCTTGAATATTTGAAAATATTTATATAACTTGAATCTCATATTACCAGTTTTTTGTTAATCCTCACCCAAAGATATTTTTCCCATTGATTTTTCCATTGAAGGGGGGGGGGGGAGGAGGGAGAGAGAGAGAGAGAGGGAGAGAAAGAGAGAGAGAAACATCGATGAGAGAGAGAGCCACATCAATTGGTTACCTCCTGCACGCACCCTGACTAGGGCCAGGGATCAAACCTGCAACCCAGGTACCTGCCCTTGACTGGGAATCAAATCTGCAACCCTTTGGGCCGTTGCTCTAACCACGGAGCAACATTGACCAAGACTCACATTACCATTTTTAAAACATGCTCTTATTTCTCATAATGGATGTATTCTTAATTTATACTTGCCCAGAGTCTTTTTCCCTCAGGCACCAGTAAGTGCTAGAGAGTTGTCATCCTCATTTTACGATATTGTTGATATCAACATATCCTTTAAGAATTGGAAAATGGGTATTGTGAGTGTAATAGTGGCTAATGTTTTCTTTGTCACTTGTTAAAGACAACAATATTTATATTATAGAATAATTGAAACTGTGGCAAATATGGACAGAACTATAGACATAACATGTATATATTTCAACCAGCGTTGAGGCTGAGACTTCTAAGTGGGAGAAGTTGTTTTCCAAATATGACCAGTTGACCACCTTACTCATTGTGTATAGAAACTTGAAACCGAAATTTATGTGTCAGAGTGTTTTGTACATATATTACTACCTATAGCATCTAAAGTTCCTTATAATATAAGTGTACTATCATTAAAAGATTTGCCCCATTTTATGCTCCATGTTGTAGTTTTTTTCCAAATTAAAAAATATAATAATAATTTTGTCTTTGTAGCACTTAAATGCAGAAAGGTCTTACAAGTCCCAGATTTGTACGTTGCATAAATCTCTTGTGAAGATGGAAGAGGAGCTTCAGAAGGTTCAGTTTGAAAAGGTGTCTGCCCTTGCAGACTTGTCTTCCACAAGGGAACTTTGTATTAAACTTGACGCAAGCAAAGACCTTCTTAATCAGCAGCTGATTGCTAAAGATCAAGAAATTGAAATGGTATGTAATGCATTTAAAATGTTTTATTTTTTCATATTTCTAGTATATAAAATTACTACAGGATTAGAAAAAAGTTGTGTTTAATATTACATCAAGCCTGTCTCTCACCTTTAGATTTCTTTTTTAAGTCCCAGAGATTAATTTGACAGCTATATTCCAACAATTCAAGTAATTAACATAACTCTTCCTCTGAGCATTTAATTTATATTTACTTTTGGCTAGAAGATTGATAAAACATCTTTACATGCCTATCAGTAAAGAACCACAAGGTTGCTCTGACTGGTTTTGCTCAGTGGATAGAGTGTCGGCCTGCGGACTGAAGGGTCCCAGGTTCGATTCCGGTCAAGGGCATGTACCTGAGTTGCGGGTACATCCCCAGTAGGGAGTGTGCAGGAGGCAGCTGATCGATGTTTCTCTCTCATCGATGTTTCTAACTCTCTATCCCTCTCCCTTCCTCTCTGTAAAAAACCAATAAAATATATTTTTAAAAAATTAAAATAAAAGAACCACGAGGTTGAGGTCCATCCAGCTAAATTGTAACTTTAATGACATTCTTTTAAGCTAAATTTACTTACTAATTGGGTTCTTTTAAACTGTAACTCAGTTGATTATATCCACCGTGTGCCTGACATTTGTGTTTGCCACTGTGACTATAATGTTCAAAAGATACAGGCCACTGCTCTCACGGACCTTTCAGTATTGGCATTGGGATGAATGTTCTACTAAGAAATACGGTTTAGAGAGGGAGATCCTATTCAGCCTGTGGGTGTCGGGAGGGAGTGGATATACTAATGAGCACAGAAGAGATGAGGTGTTTCATTCAGAGGGAACAACAACATAGGGAATGAATCGAGGTAAAAGCGATTTCTTGCGTGAATAGTAAGTAATTTTCAATGGCCAGTGTAGCATGCATAGGTAACAATGGCTGGAGATGCGTCTAGAGAGAGAGACGGAACTCAGATCCTAAAGTATATGTATACAAGTTGCATAGTGTAACTGAAGAATTAACAAATTTTGATCATGTGTACATTTCTGTTATTTTCAAATCCTATTGAAATTTTAGTTTTCTTAGTCTACTATTTGTTAGAACAGCGGTTCTCAACCTGTGGGTCGCGACCCTGTCGCCTAAAACCATTGGAAAACACATATATAATTACATATTGTTTTTGTGATTAATCACTATGCTTTAATTATGTTCAATTTGTAGCAATGAAAATACATCCTGCATATCAGATATTTACATTACGATTCATAACAGTAGCAAAATTACAGTTATGAAGTAGCAACGAAAATTATTTTATGGTTGGGGGTCACCACAACATGAGGAACTGTATGAAAGGGTGCGGCATTAGGAAGGTTGAGAATCACTGTGTTAGGAGAATATGTTGCATTTGAGAATCATGTAGTAGCTGGTTTCTGTAAGAATTTACTGTTTATATTTTATGAATGAAGTATATGCCAGTATTGTAAGACTCTTCCTTTAATTATTTTTTATTTCAGCAAGAACATTTTTTAAAAATATATTTTATTGATTTTTTACAGAGAGGGAGGGAGAGAGATAGAGAGTTAGAAACATCGATGAGAGAGAAACATCGATCAGCTGCCTCCGGCACATCTCCTACTGGGGATATGCCCACAACCAAGGTACATGCCCTTGACTGGAATCGAACCTGGGACCTTTCAGTCCGCAGGCCGACGCTCTATCCACTGAGCCAAACCGGTTTCGGCAGCAAGAACATTTTAATGATGAAAGTGACTCATAGATACTCACTTAACAATTTAAATAATATGTCCTTAATTTTTTCTTTAAAAATACTTTTTACTTGGCGTTTTCAAATTGGAAAAATAATACATGTGATAATTGAAACATTTGTTATTTGTAGTTTTTCTTTTTCTTTTTTTATAATAGCTATCCTCATAGTTGTTAAGTGGTCAGGCTAATGCTCATTGCATTTAAAAATACTCCTGACAAACTTTTTGCCTTGAAATTTAATTATTTATGTTTATATGTTTTTTTCTATAATCCTATATAATAAAAGCCTAATATGCTAAATGTCTAGTCGTCTGGTCTTCCGTTCAACCAATCAAAGCATAATATGCCAATCATATGCTAAGGCTGCTAAACCACTCACTATGACATAGACTGCTGACCACCCGGGGGCAGACTGTCAACTGGTTGACCAGTCCCTATGCCGTGCACTGACCACCAGGAGGCAGACGCTCCGACCCGTAGGTTAGCTTGCTGTTTGGCCAATCGGGACTGAGCAAGATGGACTGAACATGCCCTGGAGCCCTCCCACAGTCCCTCCCCGGCTGGCCAACCTCCCGCATCCCTCCCCAGCCCTGATTGTGCACTGGTGGGGTCCCTTGGCCTGGCCTGCACCTTTTCATAATCCGGGACCCCTTGGGGGATGTCGGAGAGCTGGTTTTGGCCCAATCCCACAGGCCAGGCTGAGGGACCCCACTGGTGCATGAATAAGCTATAATTGCAAGGGCAAGGACCATCTTACTTATCTTTGTATTTCTTTTCTGTTTTATTAATCCTCACTGGAGGATATTTTTCTTTTCTTTTCTTTTTTAGAGAGAGTGAAAGGGAAGCAGGGAGGGAGAGAAAGAGAAAGATCAATGTGAGAGAGACACATCAATTGGTTGCCTCCCACACTCACCCAACCAGGGCCGGGGATTGAATCTGTAACCTTGAGGAGTGCGGGCCGATGCTCCAACCACTAAGCCACAATGGCCCAGGCATTTTGTATTTCTTTATCTGCATTATGTGCTCAGTGGACACAAACACTTTTTAAATTTTATTGTAGTGACATTGGTTAATAAAATTATATAGGTTTCAAATGTACAATTCTATGATATAGCATTGCATATTGAATTGTGTGACCACCACCCAAAGTCAAATCTTCTGTCACCAGACATTTGATCCCCTTTACTCTTTACTATTCCATGCAGTTGGTGTAACACAGTGTATTTAACCATTCACTGATTGAAGGACATCTGGATGATTTCCAGTTTTGGGGTCTTGCAAATAAAGTTGTTGTAAACATTTGTGTACAGCTTTTTGTAAACATAGGTCTTAATTTCTCTGTAAATGCCCAGGAATGCAATTTTTTGTATTATATAATAGTTCCATGATAAGTTTCTTAGAAAAGTGCCAAACTATTTCCCCAAGTGTCTGTACCATTTTGCATTCCTACCAACAATGTGAGTGATCCAGTTTTTCCACTTCCTTATCAGCATTTGGTGGTGTCACTATTTTTTATTCTAGCCATTCTGATGTGTATAATGCTATATCATCATCTATTTGTATTTCCCTAATGATATCTTTTTGGTGTGCTTGTTTGCCATCTATCTATCTTCTTCAGTGAAATGTCTCTTTATGTCTTTTGTCCATATTCTCATTGGATTGTTTGCTTTTTTAATGCTAGTATGGAGAGTTCTTTATATATTCTAGATTCTAGTTCTTTATCAGATACGTGGTTTGCAAATATTTTCTCCCACTATGTAGTTTGTATTTTCATCCTCTTATCAGGGTCTTTCTCAGAGCAAAAGTTCAAAAGTTTGATGAAGTGCAATTTATCAATTTTTCTTTTATGGATTTACTTTTGGTTTTAAGTCTAAGAATTCTTTGCATAGCTCTAGGTCCCAAGACTTTTTGCTAGGTTTTATTTAATTTTTTTCTTTATTGATTAAGGTATTATATATGTGTCCTTATCCCCCCATTGCCTCCCTCCCTACCCCTCACTCATGCCCTCACCCCCCTGGTGTCTGTGTCCATTGGTTAGGCTTATATGTATGCGTACAAGTCCTTTGGTTTTTATGTTTCACATTTAATTTCATGATTTATTTTGAACTAATTTCTGCATAAGGTGTAAAGTTTGGGTCGAGGTTCTTTTTAATGCCTATAGGTGTCCAATTACTCTAGTACCATTTGTTGGAAAAGCTACCTCTCCTTCATTAAATTGATTTTGTACTTTAGTGAAAAATCAGTTGGATGTACTTGAGCAGGTCTGCTTCTTGGTTTTTTATTTTTTTCCATTGATCTTTGTCTGTTCACCGGTACCACACCATCTTAATTACTGTAGCTAATAATAAATCTTTAAATCAGGTAGACAGATTTCATCCACTTTATTCTGCTTCTTCAGAATTGTCTTAGCTATTCTAGCTTTTTCGTCTTTCCATTTAAGTTTTAGAATAATTTGTCTATTTCTTCAAAAAATCTTGCTGGGATTTTGATAGGAATTGCATTAAATATTTGTATTAATTTGAGAAGAACTGACAAATTTACTATGTTAAGACTTTTAATCCATGAACATAGTATGTCTTATTTATACTTATTTGATATCTTTTGTTACTTTTGTGTAGTTTTCAGCATGTAAGTTCTATACATATTTTGTTAGATTTACACCTACAAAATACAAAGAATTTTTTGAGGTACTGTAAATGGTATTCTAGTTTAAATTCTGCTATCAGTGTGTTCATTGCCAGCATATATAAGTACAATTGATTTTTGAACGATTATCTTATATCCTGTGACCTTGCCAAACTCACTTACTACTTGTAGGAATTTTTCTGCGGATTACTTGGAATTTTATATATAGACAATTGTTTCTCCCCTTCCCCCCACAAATTTCTTATTTACTTGCATTTCCATTATTTTGGATTTCTGTTATGGACAAATGAAGCAAAACCTTATTGATCCCTATTTTGTCAGGAATGAACTCTTAGATGAATCACAAGGTGATTTCTACTCTGGGATCTTGCCCTATCTTGGGTTTAATTGGGAATGGAGCACAAATTCACTCTTTTCTCATATACTCTCTAAACATATCTTGATTTTCTTCTGTAGACAATTATGTTATCTGAAAATAAGGACAATTTTATTTATTTATTTTTTAATTTTATTTTTTATTGCTTAAAGCATTACAAAGGGTATTACATATGTGTCCTTTTTTCCCCCCTGCCCTTGACAATACCCCGGCTTCCCCTACCCC